GCTACCTTTTTGTCCTTGCTGCACTTGGCAGTGTTTGACTTAGGCGAAAAATTCTTCTTTTTCCCTTTAAAGATCCTCTTCTTTCTTGAGTGCTTAAATGGCTTGCCCTTTCTCACCACGAGCATATCATGCTTTCCCTCATCTTTGAGGGTTTGCTCGGCCTGCTTCAACATACCATGAAGCTCAGTGAAAGTTTTCTCCATGCTGTGCATATTATAGTTCATTTTGAACTGATCATAGCCTTTGTGTATTGAGTGGAGCATGATGTCAATTGCCATCTCGGTTGAATACCCAGCATCGAGCCTTTCCATGTTCTCAAACAATCCAATCATTTTAAGAACAATGCGGGCTTACCGTCTCTCCTTTCTTGAGCTTGCTCTCAAGGATTTGCCTGTGGGTTTTGATTCTTTCAGGGTTCGAGCCTGCTCTTGAAACGTATTCTGAAGCTCAGAAATGATCTCAAAAGTCGTCTCCTTTTTAAAGAAAGTCTTTTGAAGGTCCGGAGACATAGTGGCCAACATGATGCACTTGACATCCCGATTGGCACTTTGCCATCAGTTAAGGGCAGCCTGGGCGACCTCCTCATTGGGAGTTTCGGGCATTTCTTCATCAAGGACGTATTCCTTTTTCTCTTGCATGAGAACAATACGCAAATTCCTTTGACAGTCAAGAAAATTTGGCCCACTAGACTTCTCCTTGTCAAGAATTGAGCGTAATGAAAACTGGTTGTTTGAGTTACTTACAGACATGTTTCTACAATTGAAAGAATTTGAAATGAAAAACCATTCATACAATCAATAAGTTTGAATTTTAAAACGTATATGCAAACATTCAATCTTATTGAGCATTTTATCCATGCATTAATAATTTGTCCCTTTTTGGCGAGGATAAAATGATTCCAAGATCCCAAAAATCAAAAATTGATTAAGCATGCTTTGGCTTGTCTTAACACTTAATATTTTAGGGTAAGCAATCCAATTTCTAATAGCTCTAACCTACTATCGATTTGATAAAACGTCGCATCTAATGCATTCTTAACATCTTATCTCTTTTGCCACGACATCTAAAGACTCCTTACTGATATCGTTGAGCTTAACCAAGATCAACTCGTATACCTAGTATACCTTACGTTCCTAGGGAAGTAGTGATGTCTCGCTTTGGCGTAGCCTGTCACGTACGCGCATTAGTTCAGCAAGTGCTGTTCTTGGAACGACAAATTTTAAGCTCAATATTATAGGGACCTAGGGTTTCTATGTTGGTTGATTTAAGTGAACTTAACTATTCATCGCAACATTTTGAAATCCTACACATGCATTTAGCATTCAAATATATATATATAAGCACAATAATATATATAAAACATAAAATAGATGCATTTGGCAACTAGCATGACCCTTTGAATCTTCAAGTCTTCAAGGTTCTTCAAAGCATTATCTTGACTCGACCTCAAGAAAACACCGTCACGAGACGTCTCTGCCAAGCATGCAATTTGTAGTTACTACAACTAAGATTAATCTAAATATTAAGGTATAAAATTACTCAACGGTACGCGGACCGTATTTAGATTTACAAAAATACGTAACGAAACGCAGTCCGTATTTTCAATCCTAGTCGGGTCCCACTAGTTGTCGTTTTTCAAAACCCTGTTACATAACAAGCTTTCATTCACCCACTCACTATATGTGAATGTCCCATGCATTTTACGACGAAAAAACAAGTAACAATGTACAACACGCGAAAACTAGTTACTAACTTAGGTGGTTAATCCGATTAACACGCCTAATTGAAACTAGTCAAAGTTGTTTAACATATTATGAATTTTAAGGTGCAATTCGTTCACGAAATTACTTAAGCTCCCACTAAATTCCGCATCCAACTTAATCAATCTAATTAATTAAGCCGGTTTAACCCATAATTTGTCAAAATATTTTGCAAGTGCCGGAGCTACCGAGGCCTAGCCTCGTTTAAAATTTAACTAATTAAATAATTAAAACGGCAAAAATTTTCGCAAAAGTCATAGTCCAAAATTAAGCAAAAAACGACCCACCCAAAACCTTGTGGGCTGCGCACTAAGGCTGCTATGCAACCCTTGGTGTTGCGCCTGCTATGCTGGGTGCTAGCATGCTCGCCCAGCGAAGCACGCTAGCTACGCTAGCCAGCACTAGCAGCACGCAACGCATGCTGCGCATGCTAGCATGCTTGCTGGTGTCTGGCAGCGTATGGCAGGCTGGCTAGGGCTTGCTGCCATGTTGCCCAGTAGCTTGCCCAAGAAACTCCAGCAGCCTAGGCCATGCACTTAGCAACATCCAGCACGCAACTAGCCTCGCCACACAGCACAGCAGCATTACAAGGCTAGGCACCTTGCGCACACCTAAGGCAACCACATGTGGGATGCATGGGCAGCCTGGCTGGCCTTGGTGGCGCATGGGTGTTCTTCCCTCGATTTGCATGTCATTTCTCGGGATTTTAATCCCGATTTATGTGTGACATAAAATTAATTCTAAATTTATTTTTGAATCAACTTAAGGCAAAAATGAAAGTAAAACAAGTCAACTTTATTGAATTCAATTTTAATGGTGCACAAGCCTAAATCATCCAAAATTGCCTTTGAACAATTTAGGTCTTTCTTGATGCTTAAAATTGAAAAGGGGCTATACCCATAATTAATTTAACCAACATGAAAATTAATAATGAGTTTTGACAAAGTAGGGAGTTGGAAAATAAAACCAATCATCCAATGAAAAATTTTCCAACTTTTAACTTGTGTAAAATGAAAAAAAAATTACATCTTCCAATATGTAGATTAATCATGATTTAATCACAAGTACTTGAACTTTAAGGATTTTAATCACCTAAAAAATGAATAAATCCTACATTAGTTCAACATGGAATTTAGAATCAAAGTTCCAACCATTTAAATACTTAAAGATTGGATCTTTAATATACTAGGAACTTTAAAATTTCACATTCACAATAAACATTCACACTTTAATACGATTGATTAGCATGATTGTGAAATAACAAGTTTATATGAGAAATTGAACATACCAACTTAAGCACACATTATGACTTCATAACCATGCTTAAAAGGGTTTAAAATTGTTGTAGATTAGGGATGCAATAATGCATTTAATCTACCCTTGACATGCTTGAATTAATCAAGGCATAAAGACTTAAAATATTTCGTCAAAAACGAAAAACCCTTCGAAAAACATATTTTTGGGAGGATTTTGGCTTCTGGAAAACCCTAAAAGGATTAGAAACGATTTAGAACAACGAGCTTCTTGAGTCGAAATCTTGGTTCGTCAGCCAAAATTAAAAAAAAAAAAACGAGATTAAAATTAATTGAAACGAGCTTCTAATACAATTAGAAAGCACAACTAGGAATTTAAATCCATTTTAAATCACCTTAATTAATTACTAATTGCAATAATTAAAAAGAGCGCAGCTCCGATACAGCTGTTGGGTTTCGTAGAGACCATCTCTACGCGGAATAGAAACCCCCCAAGACCCGCCCCAATAATTAAAGCAATAAAGCATGCATAAACATACTTCTAAGCTTAAAGCCTCACAAGCGTGACGGCCTCCAACGGCTCGAACCCACGACCTGAACCGAACGATCTTCGTCTCGAGTGTTAGTCAAGACTTGACCAAAGATAAAACTAGAGTTTTACGAACTTAAAGGTTTTCTCAATAATTAGAGATGCCTTTTTTAGTTCCACTCAACTATATTTCCAAATGCCCAATCATGGGGTATTTATAAAGAAATGCAACATGCACTCCCATTCATGATCAATGTGGGATAGTTTACATTTCCAACTAATTTATTTAAATCAAAAATATATTAAAAGATAATGCAATCAACAATCAACAAGTGGCATATGGAGAGGAGAGGTTAGGTGAGGACCATCACCAAGGGGGGAACCACTGCCTTGCTCCCCAAGGGTTGGCTCTAAGCCTTGGTCCCCACATCTCCAAACCGGCATCAAAGCCTTGGCGAGCTAGCAGTCTGCCTTTGCTGCCAAGCCTACCAGCTGGCACCTGGCAACAAGGCTAGGCAGCCTACCTTGCCAGCCAGCCAACACAGCTAGCCCATCGCATGCGTGCTGCTAGCGAGCCACGCATGCTGCTGCTGCTTCTGGGCGAGGCCTCTAGCTCGCTGCTGCTTAGTGCTGCCATGCGAAGGCACACATGCACATATGCATATACGCACAACCCAGCGAGCTTGCTGGCTGGTGCGTAGCGTGCTACCATGCGAAGGCATACGTTCACATACGCACACACGTACAGCCCAACGAGCTTGCTGGGTGGTGCGTAGCTTGCTGCCATGCGAAGGCATACGCACACACACGCACATCCTAGCGAGCTTGCTGGCTGGTGCGTAGCGTGCTGCCATGCGAAGGCATATGCTCACACACGCACAACCCAGCGAGCTTGCTGGCTGGTGCGTAGCGTGCTGCCATGTGAAGCGCCTATCAAACTAGGCATGTTGTGCGCCAGTGCTAGCAAGGCCTAGCCTTGCGACAGCAGCTTGGCATTAGCGCCTAGCACGCATGACATGATATGCTTGCGCCTAGCAATGCGAGGTACATGCTAGCTCGTGCTAGCCTAGCAACCAAATGGCTAGGCCAATGTGATGCTACGGCTTTTCTCGAACTTTTTGCTTGTTGATTTTGCGACGCTCGGTCTCGACGCCCTAGGCTCGATATCCGACGTCTGAGTTCGAAATACTCTAGTGACTCATCAAATCGTTCGGATTGATTTGTCGGTTCGGATAGGCAGTTCGTTTGGGTTCGACCCGAAGGGTTCAGTCAAGACAAAGCTGTAATATTAATTGTTCACTAATATTACTGATCGGCCTCCACCCAAGCATTCCGATCACTTGATCTCACTAAAGAATTAGCTTCCTGATATTTCTGAACCCTCTATCAAAATAATACACTTGTTGGAAGGACACTATTCCTTTCATTTTGTTTGGGTGTGCATTGATCTCTCGGGAGATGGCGGAGACATATGAGTGGGTGTTGAGGACTTGGCTACATTGCATGGGGGGTAAAGCTCCTATCTCAATCCTTACGGATCAAGATCTAACGATTAGGAAAGCTGTAAACTTGACTATGCCTGAGAGTTGCCATAGGTGGTGCATATGGCACATACTTCAGAAGTTTGGGAGGTATGTTGGTAAGCATGAGGACTATAAAGTTGTAAAGGATGAGTTTGAAAATATCATTTATGGTAGTTTAGATGCTGATGAATTTTTAGTTCGTTGGGCGGAGGCAATTGATTATTACAAGCTGTAAAGGTTTAGCTGGTTGTGTGCAGGGGACTGGAAGCTGTTTCAGTTCTGACTTAGAGTATGAGCAGGTTTAGTGGTGGACTTTTGTACCACTGAATGTTATTTTTTTTCCAATTTTCTTATTTGTGGCACATTTTGGAGACAGTGAATGTACCATTCATAGGAGTCCAGGTGTGTGAGGTTTGTTTGATTTTAGATAAGCCAGTAATTGCAATTTTTTGAAATGTATGGTTGTATGAGGAAAGGCACATGTGGATCCCAGCATATTTAAAGCATTTATTCTAGGCCGGGATGAAAACGACCTAACGATCAGAAAGTTTCAATTACTTTTTTAAAGGTTATGTTGACAAGCATACAACGCTGTCTGAATTTGTGCTTCGATACTGCGATGCAATGCAGATAAGGGCCGAGTGAGAAAGAATTGCAAACTCCAACACAATACGGTACGTCAGGCATTTAGCTACCGACTTCCCAACAAAGGAAGTGTTCCGGAAGTGTTACACGGATGCCAAATTCAAAGAAGTTCAGCAGGAGTGGAAGAGGATGTTGTACGTACGTCACCTAGATGACTATGAAGTTGGTGAGAATCAAGTTGAGTTTGTTATTGAGGATCGAGTGTGGATCAAGCCAAAATATGCAAAGAAAGAATCTGTGACTAAGATTCAAAGATGCTACAGGGTGTGCTATAACAGTAATACATATGAAGCATATTGTGACTGTAAACACTTTGAGTGCCATGGAATCATTTGTCGACATATGATCTTTGTGTATGACCATTGTGGTGTTTCCATTGTTCCTAAGAAGTATATTCTACGTCGTTGGAGGAAGGATATTCAAAGGAAACACACTCGAGTGAAAGTAGCTTACCATGGTCCACTTAAAACCGATGACGCCAGGCAATATCACAAATTCATGGGGCTGTATGAACCTATTTTCTCAAAGGCTTCATCTTGTAAGGAGGGTGATGAGGCTATGGCAGACTTGTTGCAATTGATGGACCTCAGAGTCTATGAAGTGTTGGCAATGGTTGCCAAAAGACAAGAACAGACAGCTAAGGATAATGAAAATGAAGGTGAGGATGGATGGCATACAAGGTGTTGTTTAGACGCCTTCTTCGGTGGCTTTGAACAAGGGGCTTGGTTGTACAAATACACCAGCCACACATGCATCTTGGTTGGGGAATACGATCCATACACCAGCTAGTACCTTTGTGGGGAGTTGTGATGGATCCGTCCCGACAGTGATTAAGGAGCCACCGCTGCCTAAGAAGAAGGCCCATCGTACAACCAACGTGAGGTATCCATCTTGCACAAAGAAAAAGGAAAAGAAAAGGCTGCTAATGCATTAAAGAAGCAAGCTGCGACGGCACATAACAGTATGTCATTGTCAACAAATGACTATGTACGATCGGTTAGAGGGATTCAAATGAGGGATGTGGATGGTTCCTTAGGGTACTTCACTTTTGTTAGGGAACAAATTCTGGTGGTTTTTTTGCAAGTGTACTAGGTACTTCTGGTACATTAGGTTCCAATCACTTGTAATGTAAAGGTCTATTCTTTTATTGTTGATGTTGTAAAACTTTATTTTTATTGTTCTGTTTATATGGCCTGAATTTTTTCTTTTGATACAACGTAAACTAATATATGTTTATTTGATTATGGAGTAGCTGAGAACAATACAACTAATATTGTAAAGTACTGTGTTTGTGTGTGTTTGTTTATACTGTAAAACATATTATTACATACAACAAAAACGCAAATTTAACAAATCATAATCTGCAAGTTAAAAAAAGAAATGTCATTATACAGATAGTATTTATCATATATGACGGATGAGTAGACCATGTACTATTGTATAAAACACGCTTATTTCCCTAACACATTTACAAGTTAAACAAGATATTGTATTTTCAGCATCCTCGTCATAAAGACCAGCCCATGCAGATAAGTTCTTCTCGTGTTGTAGTTTTTGTTTGCAAAATAATTGCGGTTGTGGCATATAATCTACGACGAACTTATTTCTAATCCAATTTGACCTCGCCATGTCACGTAACTTCCTTCTGCACTGGACGATCCCTGCAGATCCGATGCTATTGTTAGTGTTCTCCAAAAGCTTAACACCTTTTTCTTCTTCCCTGGTGTATATATATATGAGGCTTACTATATATGCTGCCTCTGTATTTTGCAATGCAGTTTCTCTTTCCAACCTCTTCAACCCTTCGTCAACCACCATATAGTTGAAGTATTGTCGCTACAGTAACGTAAAATAGAAATATTTTAACAATTATAAACAGGTTTTTTTTAATATTATAATGAATAAAATTATCAAGTAATAAGAAAGAAGCCTTACTAATCCAAACTCAAGCAGAGCTTCAAGATGTTCATTCTCCACGCACTTCATGAAGAATGCGTTTGCCTCTTCTCGATGTGACCACCTTCGTGTTTGAATCCAAGGGAGGTGAATTTGTTGAAGGACCCTTTTTTCTTCGGCTATCCTTCGCAGGGTCTTATAATTTTTTTCATGTCATACACCAGAAATTACATTATTGAAGTCTTTGTATACAAGGGGATGAGAAACAGAGTACAAATTATAAGTAAAATGAAATCCTACCTTATTTTGCACCGAAATAAATCTGCAGGAGATGACTTAGCAACGCAACACAGAATGGTCGCTAACACTTCTGTCGGAAGGACGTCGGCCATGGAAGTTGAAATTTTTCGCCTTTTCGCTACTACATCCATGATTTTTTTTTTTTTTTTTTTTTTTTACGTTTTTATGGAATCTGACCTCTGTTTTTTGGAATAGAAGGAAGTCAGTTATATTTAAATCTTTGTTTATCTTTGAAAATGTTTGAGATGAGTAACTTAGTTACGAAATGCCTTATATATTGACTGTAAAATGACGGTTGACATTCTACAATGGAGTGGATGTAGTGGTTTGGAGATGTAATGATGGTGGTTAATCAATGTTAAGCGCAAATGATGATTTACTAGGGGAGATAAATAAACCCAGCACGCATAATCTGGGGAACTGCCATTTCCCAGACCCTTCTCTTCAATTCGTCATTTCAACGCATGCATATAATAATTAATAGTACATGTGTTAAGCAATAAGTGTACCACTGAAATATGTTTGTGCTTATTACAATCCAACTTTGTGTGATTTTATGTTTGTACTTGTAAGTGAAGAATACGTTATACTGATTACAATTTTAGGTACGGGATAATATAAATTGAATAATGTTAGAATTTTACGAAGAAGAATAAAAACGGAAAAAATTTTGTAGCACCGCATTAGAATTTGTCGTTACATGTTGTTACATTAGCACCACATTAGCATTTGTCATTACATGTTGTTACAATTTTACGAAGAAGAATAAAACGGAAAAAAATTTGTAGCACCACATTAGCATTTATCGTTACATGTTAGAATTTCCCGTGCCATGACTAAAATGATGTGGTGCAATAGAAAGATAGCATTTACAGGATTTACAGAAGCAAAATACGCAAAAAAGAACAGAGAAATTGTCGTGACACCACGAGATTGTCACGCACGCTGGTAACTGTCGTACCACGATAATATTATTGTTGTGACACAACAATTTTGTCGTATCAAGACAATTTTTGTCATGATGTGGCATCATCCATATCTATGGAGATGCATTTTAAAGTCAGTTTTATCATATGTGAAGGAAATTGATCTTTGATAGCTTCTTTTAGACGCGTTTTTCCATTCCGAATTATTCCACAAAGCTCGGATTAGGGTTAAAATTAGGTTTGTGTGGGTTGGATTTGGTAGAAATGATGGAAAAGCATAAAACAGAGGTAAGGAAATGGCTTGGATGGATGTTTGGGATAAAAAGGAATTGGATTAGGCGGATTAAAATAAAAATGGGTTGAGTCAAAGAAAGAAATTCAAGCAATTCTTGGATTTAATCTGTAACCTGACCAAGTTAATTATTCCCCCATGTAACTACTATAAGCTAGAACAAAACAAATACCTTTTCTCTTTTCTATATAAATGCAATATTTTATTTAAAACTAAGAAGCTTTAACACTTTATTTTCTTTCTCCTTAAAATTTTACCAACTTTTCCACTCCATTTTCTCTTTCATAAAACTGCAAAATATCTCTAATTTCTGTTAAAATAATCAAAATACTCTCATATGTCAACTAAACATTAGATTTAAGTGATGAAATCTCGAATGAATTCTTCAAAAGAAAGGTTAAACATTGTAAATTAAACAAATCAGAATTATCTATGTCCTTTAAATAGTAAGTCTCTTGGATGTCGAAGTTTCTCCTTATTTGAAGTAAAAAGACTTTGTTCAAATTAACATATTTTCCAGCCAACTCAATATCATATGTTTCTTGCATTATGTTGAGATTGCAGTTCCACAACCGTTTGTGAAGAATCTGGAATCAAAGCTACAGAAACAGCAGGTGATACCAAAGATGCTGATATTGGCACAAGCATTAAAATGAAGGAAAGAAATAAAGAGGTTTTAAGCAAAACCATCAAAGAAGAGACTATTCAGGCTATTGACTTCTAAATTTTCAGTCAAGAAGAGGAAGATGCCTGCTTATTAGCATAATCAATGGCTGTAGCAAATCAGGCTACTCAATCTTACACTGAAAATTCTAGAAAGAAAAGAAAGAGATTTAATGTTGATGATAAAACTGGTATCACTAGACCAGCAAAGGATTTCATTGAACCAGCAACACAGTCAGCAGTCAAAAGGACAAACTCCAATAAAAAAAAAAGAAGCAAAACAAGCTTCTCATGCTGATTTTAAAGGGAAGGCTATTAGCTTTGGGGGAGAAATAATTGATCTAGAGAAAGAATAGGTAGTTAGGCAAGAAAAAGAGAGCAAGCGTCGAGCCCTAAAAGGAAATCAATACCAAACCTAAATCATTTATTAACAAATTTTCACAATCAGCAAAAACCCTACTACTCACCTCAGTTAAACATTATTAAATAAAAACAATTGCCATTAAATTAAGCCATATTAAAATTCTGAGAACAAAAGGGTAAAGAGGATTTATTAGTTTAATAGTCTTAGAATGCTACGGAGAAGTCACTATCATTCAACAATCAATACCTAACCAAAGATCATAAATCATAAAGCAAACACAGAGTGCTCAGTCCGCAGTCAAATATAAAGGCAATGACAAAATTACCTATGACCCTGCCCACCATTTTTCCCACTTTACAACAAAAAACACAGACAACGCAATTTAGACATGTGTACTTTGTGTAATAGATACACATGTAAAACACAGCTAAATAAAACACATCTAAACCAGACTTATGGCAGATAAGTTGGGTAACAACTTCATCTATTAAATCTTTTGTTATGTATCTACTAATTATGGCTAGGCTAAACTGTTGAAGTTTATGCGAATGTGGCTTCCAGTTGAAACAAGAATCCTTAGACTAATTGTTCTTATACAGTGACACTTTGACTAAGGAAGTATCCCCTATGGTTAAACCTTTTGAAGAATGTAATGTTGAATAGGATTAAGCCAGGTTTCTTAACAATACATGTTCCTATGTAACACCACTTGTTAAAGTACCAAGTTGGACAAATAATGTAATCAGTATTGTTTTTTTTGCTGCCTAATTACTTAGGGGTGCCTTAAAAAATAATCAGGCATTATGTACTTAGAATATCAGAAGGAAGTGACTTTCTATTTCTATAATATTGTAGCCATATGACCTTCTTCTTATTATGTAAATATAATGTGAAATATTATATGGTTAAGTACTTTAAGTGTGTTATCTCTTTACTTATTAGAATCACTATAAAAATGAGCAAATAAATACTCTACCTTATCATTCTTTCAGAGTAGTGTAAAAAGAATAATTAGCTACTGAATCATCAAATGTTATATCCATAACCCATCACAAAAGATTACAAATAAATGATGAATTTCCATACATGAACAATAAAATATATCCATTAATCAAACCACCTAATATGTAACCCTCTAATTTCACATATGACCGCATCATCATTAATTTAACCTATACCAAGCATAAATATAAGCAATATAAACAATAAAAAGCAACACAAAACTAATCCTCTTAAAACAAGATCAATGATTATTTAATTATATATCATAAGTGTAATAATTTAGCAACTACTACCTATTGTTCATACGAATTAATTGTATAAACTACGGATTAAACTACATCTTCACAACTAGTTCATTAGTTTTTGTAATCAAATATAAAAGACCAAAAAAAAAAAACTTTAAACAACCTTTGCTTCATGTCAGCACTTTTAAAGATCAGCAAAGGAAAAACCCCAAAGACCCAAAATGCATCACATTAATCAAAATCACCTATTATAGTCTTCAATCATGGACTTTTCCTTCTATACATATCAGAATCCTTGCTTGTTCCTTCATCTTCATAGTGGTTCCCAAAATCAGAATCAGAACCACTATCATTGTCATCATCATCAACAGAATAGTTTCCAAAATCTAAACCATTATCTGATTCAAATGATACATCCAATTTTGGAACAACTTCTAGTTCAGTCTTTAGGTCACTTTCAACCTCTTCATTAGTTTCATCATCTGCCTCACTGTCGCTTTCTTCTTCAGTCCCACCTTTTTCCTCAATCACGACTTTGTCTCCATCACTATTTGATTCAAACACAATTACTTTATGTTCACGCTCATCACCATCAACCTCTCGCCTTTTTTTGTTGCTCGGTTCTCCTTCTTCCATGTTGTGCTCCATCTTAGAGGTACCTTGTTGCATTAAGGCCAAATGATTGTTCATCTTCTCTGTAACATCGGCAAAATATAACAAGAAACTTGAAATATTCTCTTCTTGCGATTTGCTTGCATTCGGCTTCCAAGCAGGTGGTTTGAAGACTTTCCCAGAGGTCGCAGTACTATCACCACTTGCCATTTTTTGTTGGATTTTTTTTAAAAAAAAATTTCAATTTTTTTTTTTTTTTTTTTTTTTTTTTTTTGCAGAAGAAAGAAGATGAAAGGAATAAAACAGAGTAAAGGGAAAAAACAAAAAAAGAAGAACAGAAAAGGAAATGAAAGAAAGAAAGAAGAGTTTTAAGTACATAGTTTGACCAATCAAAACCAAGTTCAGTAATTATTACACATTCTTGAAAGAATAAAATAGTTTATGTCTTCCAAAAAGAATAAAACTATATGTATTCAGTTCAATACGTAATGTTTTGTTTCGCTATAGTGCAAACATTATAAAAATCTAAAAATAGAAAGTAACTTTTCCTGTGTTTCCTATTATGCTTATGCATGATATCTGTACATACGTGTGTTGGGACCGTTTCTAATTTTCATCATTTTTTTTTTGTTTATACGCTATTTTAAACTGAATTATCTTTAAATCTGAAATTTTAAACTATATATTTCATTGTGTCTCATACATTTGTATCCCTTTTAATAAAAAAATAAAAAATAAACAACATGATACTATCTTTTAATACAATAAATTGCATTTTATTATTATCATTATTTTTTTTTACAAAAAAAAACGACGCTTAAATACCAAGTTCATATTCATTTTTAATAAAAATTCAAATAAGATAACAATAGTAATAATTAGGGTACCACTACAATCAAGGTGGGACAAATTATCCCATAAAAAGAACCACTGAAAAGGAAAAGAAATTACGCACGCTAAATCTAGGGAACTGCAATTTCCGTCACACGTCATTTCAATATGTCATTTAAACGCATGCAAATAATAATTAGTGGTACAAGTGACGAACAATAAGAGTACCACTGGAATATGTGTGATTTTATTATGGTCGTTGTAGGTCAAGTTTACTTTCTACTAATTACAATTTGTGGTATGGGATAATAATAATTGAATAATGTGCTAATTCAGGAAACTTAAATTCAGTATAATACATTAACTTAGTTTCAAGTTCCAGATGCAATACATCTACTCGAGGGTACCACTAAGACAATTAGGGTACCACTGTAGTCAAGGTGGTACAAATGACCTTATAGAAAGAACCACTGAAAAGGAAAATGCATGTTTCTCGTTCATGGTGGTACAAAACCTTCATAGGAGGGCACTGTTTAATCACAATTTTGGTATCACTAATATCATTCTTATTAGGCTTCACTAATATATTTGGTCACAAATAACTAATTACTAAAGTTGACCTCCATAACCAATTCATAATCTGTCAATGAACTCGGTAATCACAACCCTTGGGAAATTTACGTTGAAAGTAGGACGCTGTAGAACATTATTTAATGACATGTTGTTGCTTCACCGATATTTTGTTAAAAAGACGTACATGTATGAATATTGGAGTTTACCTCAGTAAAAAGACGTACATGTATGAATATATTAAGTTGTAATCACAACCCCCATATGTACCTCAAGTTTGTAATCACGACCTTTTGGATATTTACCTCATCAACTAATTCAGTTACTTTGTAATAAAATATGTACCTTAAGTTACTAAGACAATTAGGGTACCACTATAGTCAGGGTGGTACAATGACCTTATAGAAAGAACCACTGAAAAGGAAATGCATGTTTCTCGTTCATGGTCGTACAAAACCTTCATAGGAGGGCACTATTTAATCACAATATTGGTATCACTAATATCATTTTTATTAATCTTCACTAATATCTTTGGTCACAAATAACTAAATACTAGAATTGACCTCATTAACCAATTCATAATTTGTCAATGAATTTGGTAATCACAACACTTAGGAAATTTACGTTGAAAGTAGGACATTGTAGAACATTATTTAATGACATGTTGTTGCTTCACTAGTATTTTGTTAAGAAGACGTTCATGTATGAATATTGGAGTTTACCTCAGTAAAAAGACGTACATGTATGAATACAAGAAGTTGTAATCACAGCCCCTATATGTACCTTAAGTTCGTAATCACAAGCTTTTGGATATTTACCTCATCAACTAATTCAGTTACTTTGTAATACAATATGTACATTAAGTTACTAAGATAATTAGGGTACCACTGTAATAAGGGTGGTACAAATGACATTATAGAAAGAACCAATGAAAAGGAAAATGCATGTTTCTCGTTCATGGTGGTACAACACCTTCATAGGAGGGTAGTGTTTAATCACAATTTTGGTATCACTAATATCATTCTTATTAGGCTTCACTTATATCTTTGGTCACAAATAACTAATTACTAGAGTTGACCTCATTAACTAATTTGTAATATTTTAATTATTTGTTAATCACAACCTTTAGGAGATTTACGTTAATAGTAGTACATTGTAGGATATTATTTAATGACAATCTTCGGTTTCACTAATATTTTTTTAATAAGACCTAAATGTAATAGGTTACCTCAGTAACTAGTTCGTAATCTTTTAATGATTTTGTAAGCACAACCCTTACATGTACCTGAAATCCGTAATCACAACCTTTGGGATATTTACGTCATTAACGAATTCAGTTACTCGTTTGAGTTATTCAGTTGTTTCTTGGTTCGTTCATGGGCTTACTTGTTATCGATTGCTAAATGATTTAACCAATTACACCCTGCAATGAACAGT